ACGTTCAATCCCACTATTCGTTGGTAAAAGAGTAGTCCAAGAATTGGCGGCGGGTGGTGATGACTATCTGCCTTCCCTCTAGTCTTACACTGCTAAATTAGGGACAGATAGCGCAGATAGCCCTCGTGTAGCTTTGCGTGAAATTCATAACAAACAAACAAACAATCTAGTAATTGAATCTTGGGAATTTCCTATGGAGGTGAAATGAAGCTAGAAGATACATTTATAGAAATAGCAAATTGTCATAAAGGTCCAGCAAGAGAAAAGTTAGAAGTCGGCCTTATTTTTGGAAGCTTCTCTAAAAAACAAGATGTATTGGTAGCTGAAGTTGAGGTAGAATGCATATTGTGAATAGACTTCTTGTGTAAGTATAGATATGAGGTTAAAATTGTTTCAAACATTTTCACAGTTTATGATCAGGGAATTCTCGTGCATTAAACGAGAAATACACCACCAAAGGTAGAATTTCCAGTGATAATACAGATAGAAGCATAAGGTAATAAAAATAATCAACTTAAGGCGCAATAGAGAAGAATACAGACAGGTCATCTTTCATGAATATCTTTGTAAGCATGCCAGTGGGAGAACAACCAAAAAGCTAACTTGAAAGAAAACTTCACCAGAGTTAAATCAATCTGATGAAGAGTCCAAGGTCTCTGTTGAGACTACTTACAGAATATCTCCAGAGATGGAGCCAATAGTAGATTCTCTAGACACTCTAACTGAAGATAATTCCTTCAGCAATAAGACAACAACCGCTGACAAAAAATAAACAGTCATCCCATTTTGGTTTCATAAGATGTGAAAAATAAAACTATAAAAAGATTTGGTGACTGGGCATTTTAGATAAGGTAAATAGATAAAGAAATATGATTTGATTTGATTTTTAGTCGAAATATTTATTGTACTTCGTTTCACATACATACAAATAAGGGTTATAGTGTCTATATTTATTAAAATTAATGTTGTTACTTGTAAAAAATGATTTTGTGTTTAGTTATGGTAGTTTAAGTTTAATGCACTGTTGTTTTCTTAGTGTAATATGACTGTTAAAGGGGCTTCACAATATAAGGAGGAATCAGTGTTATAGATTATGCATTTTTTAAAACTTAAGAGTTTATGTTGTTTTTGGCTAGAGTGAATTTTACCGTCACGTGATGAGTGCATGGCATAATAGCTAGAATGTTTTTGAAGTTTGGGAATAGATTTCGTGACATAAAACGCGAATTAGGCAAGACTAGAGTAGAGTGTTGACTTATTAGTGAGTCTGTTACAGTGGTTTATTTATTATTATTTTAACAAGTCTATTAGCCAGTTTGTCTATTACTTCAGTTTCATGAATTTTGAACTTGTATTTCTAATGAAGTACGACAGACGCGAGAAGTACCGTGCATACTAAAACTTAGCAAGTGGGATTTATATTAAGACGCTGTTTATTTGGAAAGGAAGGTCTATTGTTAGTTACGAGGAACAAGGTTTAGAACTTATAGTCGAAAAAATAAAACACTTTCATAACCATTAAGTGAACTAGACTTTGCATTTTTCTTTTTCCTCAATAATCCAAAAGGAACCCGCCCAACAATAGAAACCGTTACAACAGTACATAGGTTTTTAGTTTTGGATTTTTCTGGATTTCCTCCAGAGGGTTAATTTACAATTATAGCTGTAACCTACAATCATCATAAACATGTTGGAAAAATCATTGCAACATTTTCTGTACTAGTTTTGATATATCTTGTAATTGGCAGGATTATTTTAAATCTTTCACACTTTTGCAGACACTCAAGTAGATACATGCGTCATCCAATGTGACGACATGGTTCCATTTGTTAAATCTTAAATACCGCTTGCAGAGCTTCCAACAGTTGGATTTTCCGTTCGGTAATGTATTTTTGAGAGAATTTTGTGAAAATGGCTCTAGTAATCCTAAATCTCTGTGAATCATATTGTTTATATTTCTAAAGGAGGTTCCTATTTAACTTCAATAGATGCTGCGTTCGTCGGTTTCTTCAGGACATAAACCGTTTAACTGGGGAGTGACTGATAGCTGACCAGGGACTAGTCTGTTTTTCCCTGTTGGAATCACATGTTCACTTGCTTTTCCAATACGAAGCAATATTCCAGGTATCCCTTTCTTCAATATTTTACAACTCAGTGCCTTGCATGCTTTTATAACCGTGTAATAGGAGACCTTCATCTTGCAAAAAGTCTTGAAATGAAGCCCTCCCAAAAGAGCTCAGTTTTAGGCACCTTCACTCTCGTAAGTTACCTCACTTGAACTGAATTGCAACAGGAGGCTCAAAGCCTTTAACGTTTATAGTCACAGGCTACAGAGACAAGTTGATTGGATATGCAGTTTTTACCATAAACCGTGAACAATCTTATTTACTTTTTCTATTTAAAACTTTTTTTGGAAACTGAAAGGTGAAATTTCTATAAAAAATGGATAAAACATAATTACTTACATCAGCTATCAAGCATTACAGTAAAAAGATATTTAAATTATTAAAAAACGCTACATCATTATTGAAAAATATTTTAACTTCCTGTGAATCGACACAGTGGTTAGCATGTGGAAGTATGAAGCTGAGGTCCTGTGGTCAATCTCATCTCCTCTTACCGCAGAAAAAAATACAAAATCGTGCTCTCTACTATGGAGCTGTGAGTATGTCATAAGACTGACTATCAAAACCTACTCTTTGGTCTGAAAAGTATAGCCCAAGAATTGGCAGTAGATGATATTGACTAGCTGCTTTTCTTCTTGTTTATCACTTGAAAATTAAGGACGGTTACTGCAGATAGCCCTCGTGTAGCTTTGTGCAAAGTCCAACAGAACAAACAAATGAACTTTTTCCCTATATATACATAAACACATCATGCAGGGTATACTCATACAAAAGTCATACACAATTAGTAATTGCAACTAAACCGTCAATGTATCATTAAGACAACGCATTATTATTATTATAGAAAATACCAAAAAAGTGAATTAGTTATACAATGCACTAATGTTTTATATTTGCTTTGAACAGTGCTATACATATTGTTATTATTATAATACCCTAAGTTTACTGACACATGATTTTAAAATATTGTTCTGAATATTCTTTATTACTCTTCCAATTCAACCAAGATATTTTATTTGTCGTTTACCTTCTCAGTGTCATATAAGCTCATACAGCCTCAATGATATGGATACCAAATCTTTCTGCTGGCCAAGCTCTAGTTGAAAATGTTTCCTCAGCCTTACTTTCTTGTATAATTTCACCACATTTGTTGTATGCTTGTGATTGCTGTCTAGCTGTAAGATTAATCCCTACTCAACAGGATTTGTTCCTTATGGAATGATTTGATGGACAAGAATATGTAGTACTTGTCAGAAGTCTTGGTGCCATTCTCAACATCATTATCTGAGATGGAGCCCACACTTGTACTGGCCCCTAGGCATATTTCAATGCAGGTGTTGTGTGTTGCTCGTGATATTCTTGTCCCTTAATTCATCAAACAGACTATGTTTGATTATTTCCAAACATTCTAAATTTAGTTTCATCTGTAAAGAGCATCCTTTTTCAACTTTGCTCATCACATTGTTTTGAATATTATGTCTTACTCAGCCTTTGGATTTGTTTATTTCTTTTAAGCAGTGGTTTTTGACAGCTGCACATCCACTGAGGCAACTTTGTGCTAATGTATATCTTACTGTTCAGAAGGTAATATTCACACCTGCATTGATAACTAGGTCATTGACACGATTTCAAATGGAGTATATCTGAATTTCTTATTACAACTTTTGAAGAATTTTGGTTTTCTACCTCGATTGCTTCTGATATTCGATCACTAACGATATTAGTTTCAAGTACTTTCTTCAGAGTTTGCATACAGCTCCTACTGAAAATTAAGATTTAGCCTCAATCCATCGTATAAGGTAGACTTCTTCAACCAAAATTTTGATTTCTACATGTTTGGTATGTGGTATATCTGTCCTGAGAGATATAAATGCATCGCCCACCACACAGCTACTGGGAATAGCATGACTTCATGTACTTTTATATGTATGATATTCGTGTGGCACTATCTGATTGATTGGATGACAGCCATTCCCAGTGTAAACTATCAGCACACTACTGTATTCTATTGTAGTTCATTTTCGTACTTGCATTTTATACTCAGTCCACATAATGATAAATTATTTTATTTTCTTCTTAACGTTTCTCTGCAGGCTTATACATCATGTAACTTGAAAGTTGTAAGTCTAAGTAACTTTACAAATGACGCTCAAACGGATATACATCGACTGACTTCAAAAATATAATTACTTGTACAACTTCAGGGCTGATCGATCAAGTAACTGAAAACACAACATTTACAAAAACAAACAAATTTATTGAATTGTTCATTCGTATTTATATCCAATTCTTGTACTAGATATTGTGCAAAGTCTCTAGGTATTCTTAACGTCAATTTAGAATATTCTAAGCCTAAACTTACAAACTTACTTGATCTTAACGTCATGCGCCCTTTAGCTGACATATAAATTACAATTTAAAAATATAGCTTATAGCAATATGTTGCATAATTTTTTGATTGCTCCAAATGCTGTATCCGTCAATTTTTACTGGTTCGTAACTTTCTGATTTTCTTATTCCTTTATGTTACAAATGTAATTTGATAAACGTTTAGTTCGATTCACCTAATACGAATTATTTCGTTCATGGGTCAACCACTGAAATTTGTCTGGTTAGATAGTACAATATATCTCTTTATCTATATAATAAATATATTGTATTTTAGCCTATATGTGTTGTATTTTTAGTATGAGATGAGGTAGCTCGAGATTACTACAATAATTACAATCTTAATTGGCATATAACATCGAGTTTATTGAAAATATGAAAGAGCGCACACAACATTTCGCTTAAGTTAATATTATCAAATATGCTTTCAATAAACTCATTTGAAATTGTTGCATTATTGTATTCAGTTAAACCTGCTACATCAGACTAAGCGCCCTCTTTTAATGTACGGCCAACAGCCGTACTGTGTTCTTTCGAACGGTGGTTTAAAGTATCGGAAATAATCTTCTGTTATTTCAGACATCAGGCAATATTTCATTATCAACAATATGCTTAAAAATCTGATATTGCTTTTGCTTCTAATTTTGCCAACTTCGCTTTTGTTAAGTAGCAATGGTATGTATTTTGATACTTTGGCGAGATTGTAGTCTTATTATATATATGCATGCAAGTAGGCTCATTCAACGGGCAACCTGTATTGCTGGGAAATTTAGTATCTATCTACTAAGCTACGTGTATATGTACGTGGCACTCGTGTTGAATATAACAACGTGAAACGCTAACTGCAATAGTTAACATTATTTTGAATTTTATAACTTCTGTTTGAGAACCAAAGTTATTGATACTAATAAAGTCGTAATTTACTGAATTATGAATACAATTTTTAGAACTGCAGATCTTATTGTTTTTAATTATATTTATAATAGATGTAAATTAAGGTAATACTAATAGTAACACTATCTCTGTATAATGTATTACGAATGTGAGAAAGAAAAATCACTTAGTTACTGTACATTCCTATTATTGACTAACATATATAGCTTTTTTTTGTATTATGTATGTGCCATAAGTTAACATCTAATATGTTTATAATTTTTTACAAATTCCAACTTGTCATTATAATTTGTACCTGTTATATATTGATGTCAATATCAATTTTATTTATGTATGGAACAAAAAAAAACTTGTTTACTACTTAGTTATAGTAAACATTTATTTTAAGTTGTGTAAACAATGTTTCAGATGATTTATTTGTTTTACTTTTCAGTGAAAAGGATTTACCTATATATATATTATCAAATTGCCTTCTGCCACCTTGCTGTTATTGATATTCTAACTATTATTAGCCATTGAAGATTAATTTAGGTTTAATGTTTTCTGTTCTGTTGGTTATGCCCTTCATTGATAAGATACTTTATTTTATATGTTGTTAAACATACATATGCTACATTATTTAAAAAGTGTACTCGTTCTTAGCATTTTATCATAATATATACTCGTATTGCTTTTTGGCTAACTACATCAATGTATCTAATGGTAAATCACATGATACAATTTGAATATAATAAATGTATGAAAACCAAGATTCCAGTTTCCTGTAGGTACCTCAAAAGATTTAATACTTTTATATCACCTTTATCTAAATTAAAGTACAAAATCGTTTCTGCTGTGGCTCTAAAATGAGACACCAGCTCAAGATGCAATGGCTAAATTCATGTAGAAGTCTTGCTTATAGACTAAATCAAGCTGCCAAACTCCACTAATTTAAGAACATATGGCCTGGTAAGGTGAGACAAAGAATTTTCAGTTTCACCAATCAACCATCCAAATATTTCTTATTGAAAAAAAAAAGTCAAGGGTGTGTTTTTTTTTCCCCCCATAATTTAAACCTACCTAACAGGGTCTTTATAGAATCAATATACAACATTTATTACATAAAACCCTTCCAAAATATATATATATATACAAAAAGTAATTGCTTAATCCTTTTAGTTTTTAACAATACTAACTTAGTTCATGTACAAAAAAAATTAATTATTGTGTCATTATCAAGTCTTGGTTTTAAACTTTGCAAAGCTATTCTCTCCACATAATTTAAAATGCCAAAGTCAAATCACTCAGTCTATGTAAAATTTTTGTTAAAAGTGCATTATAGAGCTGGATGAATAACTCGATTACCTATGAGCATTGATTCCTTTGATTAGTATTGCATCAAATAATGAATCAACTGAAATTATGATTAACGTTACAAAAATAATTAACTAATCAAAAGTAGTGTTTTTGACTGTTTTAATTATCCTGGTAACCGAAATGTTATAATTATTATTTCTCATTGGTATTTTCATTTAGTTCAAGGTTGTTCACCTTAATTTGTGTCACAACTCATGAAAATAATCAACTAATCCAAATTAGTGTTTCCAGTTGCTACAGTTTATGAATATTTCAACTATCTAAGTCTCTTGTGAGATTGATAAGAAGAATGTAATTAGTTAATCAGCCAGATGGTTAATTGATTACAAAATTCCACTAATCTTCCAGCTCTAGTATACTATAATATTTAAATTTTTTTGTGTACACATAATCCTACCTTGTCATTACATATGTAAAACAAAAAGTGTAAAGATTACTGAATAGCAACTAGGAAGGCTTAGGATCTATTTCAAATTAGTTAGAAATATAATACTTTGCTATTAACTCTTTGATGACTTAGAACTGAAAAGGTGCTTTTCTTTTAATGTGTAATTTTTGCTACGTTCTAGGTCTGGCATCAGCAATTCTTGTAAATGCTCAGGAGGAAGGAGACACCTTGGAGGGTGAGGATGATGTTCAAGTTGAAATGGATGAAGGAACTCCCCTCTCAGATGATGACACAGTTAGTGTAACAGAAAAAGTGAGTTAAAGTATATTCTGCTTGGTTGAAATACAAAATTTCAGCACTGGGATGCAAAGGATGACTACATATATTACACCTTGAAGTACCTGTATTGTATCACTCCTAGTGAATATTATTAATATAATATAATGTTTTGGGACAACATGGGACCTATTTGTCCATCTCAGCTGTCCTATTCTTTATACTAAAACTATTACCAAAGGCCAACCACGCTGTTAGAAAAATAAAACTGTCTTATCTGAATATGGCTCCTACCCTGCCAAAATTTATGTGTGTTCCCTAGTCCTACTATTCTCACTATTAATTATGAAAAAAGATGATTCATCAACACTATCAATTCCCTTTAAAATCTCAAACGCTTCAATCAGATCCCCTCTAACTCTTCTCTTTTCATGAGAAAACAGTTTGAGAGATTTCAGCCTATCCTTGTATGACAACCCCTTCATCCCAGGAACCATTCTAGTAACCCTTCTCTGAACCCTTTCCAACAATTCAATGTCCTTCCTAAGGTAAGTAGCCCAAGACTGAACACAGTACTCCAAATGTGGCCTAACTAGTGACCTATACAATAAAATTATAACCTCTTAAACTTTTATTCAATATTTCTATAGATACAACCTAAAATCCTACATGTCCTACCACTAACAACAGCACACTACTTGGATGATTTGAGAGACTGATCGACTGTTTCAGCAACAACCCTTTCCTTCATAACACTGCTAAGGTTATTCCCATCCAAATGATACATATAATTCAAATTATGATA